GGTTCTGTTCATGTTTCAGTCTCTGGTTCTGTTCATGTTTCAGTCTCTGGTTCTGTTCTTGTTTCAGTCTCTGGTTCTGTTCATGTTTCAGTCTCTGGTTCTTTTTCTTTCTGTTGCTGTTAGAACTCCTTGGTTCTGATTGGACCGTCCCAGTCTGTTCTGTCTTTGACCCGGTTCTATTCGGTCCTTTCGGTCCAGTACTGGTTCCACAGAACAATCTTTCGTGTCAACAGAGCGCTCTTACTTGAAGGATCAGGCTCGGCTTCGTCCGGTTGGAAAACGACCCGCTCAGATCCACCAGAACCAGAACATCTTCATCAACAGCAGGCTTCCTGACAGGTTCTGATCTGGAAACAGATGTTCCTAAAATAATAAAAGTTCTGGACAAGTCAAAGCTGCTTTTCTGCCGTCGGAACCAATCGTACGATCAGCGGTCCACCATGAACCGGATCAGAACACGGGCCAGAGTCGCCCAGCGGACCTTCCAGAACCTGCTTTCATTAAAAATAAGGCAGGCTTTAAATTTGAATGGGCTTCATTTCTGTGACCACCTCGACCCGGTTCTGGGAGGTTCTGACCATTTTAAGCTTCGTTTAAAAACATAAAACAAACCATCAGATTTATAATAATTAATATTTTTATAGTCGGGCCTAAAGGTTCGGGTGAAGCTGCAGGTTCTGAAATGAACTCAACGGAAGTCGGTGACAGAAAAGGTGAAACGTTCTGTTTGACGTCACCGAACCAGAACCAGAACCAGAACCTGGACTCGTTCTTCAGGTGCACCTGAGTTACATTTTCCTCTTTATGAACATTTTCCTCAGAACTGATCAAATCACAGAATCTCTTCGGGGTTCGGGTGAATGCCTCAGTTTTTAAATCAAGTTTTGCTGCGCTCTTTATTTATTTACTTCATAAATTAACCGGTTTTACTCCACAGGTTTAAAATCTTTAACTTTTAAATCTGAGCTCAGGCTGAAGGACCGTCTGGACCTCACATCTCCTGGTTCTGGTTCATTAAACTGGTTCAACTGTTGGTACCTGCGGGGTTCTGGACTCTCGGGTCTGCAGAAGGTTTCGGGACCGTCTCCTCCTGGATAAAGGTTTTTCTTTCTTTCAAACTCTGGATCCGAACAAAAGGGAAGCTAATGATGCTAACGTGTTTGTATTTCCGCTCGGTGTCACGTTCCGGCAGAAACAAGAGTCCTGCCGGAACGTTTCTGAGCGGCGCGTTCCTCTTCCAGCCTGTCGGTGAGTCGAGCCGATCAAAAGAAACGAGCATAGACATGAAGCATAGACGCCTCGTTGCCCTCTGCTGATCACAATAAAAACAGACTGAACACCAACTGTAGAATCACTTCTGATTCTGGTTGGAAACTTTACTTCTGCTCGTTTTAAAGCAACAGAACTCAACTTTATTTTCCAATAAATGTAATTTAATGTGTAACTTTCATTTTGACTACTGAGTTGTTGTTTTTGGACGATTTTATTTTTGTTCTGTTCATATAGCGAAAACAGATGTTCAGGGTATAAAAAATTCAGATAATTAAATTTAAAACGGATTTAACTTTTGGATTTAGCCGCGGAGCTGATCGTTTAATCATTTTTTACTGACGCTGGTTTGAGAAGACGGAACGGTGGTGATGCGTGTAAACGGTGCTGCAGCCATCACTTCCTGTTTAAGCTGCCCTCGTGTGGAGGTGCTCACATCCCTGAGGTTCTCCATGACGTCGCCCGATTATCATGAAGGACCGAGCAGGCAGCGAGTCTGAGACCTGGAACCTTCAGGTCCAGAACCGTCTGACTCGGGAACATCGAGGTTCTTCTTCAGAACATCTCCTGGACTTCCTCGTGACAGTCTGCTGAGGGAGTAAAACAGGAAACCATCCACTCTGAAGATTAAAACAATTCACGACAGAACTCTGAAACCAACGTAAAGTTCTGCTGCAGCCGGGTCTGGGTCTGGGTCTGGGTCAGTCTTCAGGAGGTTCAGGAAGTTTTCAGCGACTTCAGACAAGAATCATGTTGGAACTTTTTATTCTGGATTCAGGTTTTGGAACATGTTACAGGATTTCTCTACAAAACAGTCCATGGTTCTCCGAGCGGTACACTCAGGACAGGAGTGGGCGGAGCTTGGCTCTGATTGGTCAGCAGGGACACGGCGTGTTGGCGTCCTGCTCCACCGTCAGCCCTTTGCTTAAGAGGAAGGCTTCCTGTTTGGGTTCCCGCCCGAGGAACTTCCTCAGCATCTCTGAGGCGTCCTCGGAGCCGCCGGGCTGCAGGATGAACTTCCTGTAATCCAGACCCACCTGGACCAATCAGGAGACAGAAACTCAGTGACCCGGCAGTGACGGCAGGTGTGTTAAAGGTGCGGCGTCCTCCGGCTCACCTGTGGGTTCATGATGCCCTCCTGCTTGAAGCGAGCGTAGAACATGTCCATGGAGAACACCTCGCTCCACAGGTAGCCGTAGTACTGAGCGTCGTACCCGCCCGCCAGGTGTCCGAAGGTGGCCGGCATGTTGGTTCCTGCACACACACACGCATGCACACACACACACGTGATGTCACTTCCTGTACACTGAGGACAAACGTGAACACGCGGGTCGCCGCCCCACCTGGAGACGCGGGGACTCCCAGGATGTCCTCACAGAGACGGCCGTACTCCTCTGCGGGGTCCAGGCCAGTTCTGGTGTGCAGAGCCTGGTCCACCTTGGCCAGAACAATCTGCCGCAGGTTAAACAGACCTGAGGCGACACGGGTCACACGTTACTCAACAGAACCAGACCTTCAGCTAACCGGGTCATCAGAACCTTCGCACCGTGGTTCTGACCGACAAACCGTCAGAACGACCCAACTTTAATCACCTAGAACAGAACCATGTCAGGACTAAAATAAATGAAAGGATGGTTCTGGTGTTTCAGTCCATACGGGCCAGCAGGGTTCTGCAGTTGGTACCAGAACCAGGCAGTTCCGCTGCTTCCTGCGCGCTACATACCGGTGTTGGCGAGGCGGGACTTGATGAGTTTGTCCAGCAGCTCGTCGGGGATGGGTTTCCCGGTCTTGTAGTGTTTGGACATCCTCTGCAGAGGCTCCTTCTCCCAGACCCAGTTCTCCAGCATCTGGGACGGCGCCTCCACGAAGTCCCGCTCCACGTGGGTCCCGCTGAACATGGCGTAGTCCGCCTGCGGACACACAACAACGGTACTGCCGGCTTCTCGTCGTCGACCAGACGCAGAGCGCCGAACGTGGGCCCACCTGAGCGCACAGCTGGTGCATGACGTGGCCGAACTCGTGGAAGTACGTCTCCACCTCGTCGTGCTGCAGCAGCGACGGGGCGTCCGCCGTCGGCTTGCTGAAGTTCGCCACCATGGCCGCCACCGCCATCTGACGAGTGCCGTCCGGCAGCAGGCAGCCCGGCTGCAGGCCGAAGCACGCCGCGTGGCCGTACTTCCCCTCGCTGCACGGGACAAACGACACGGAACAAACAACACGGAACATCAGAACACCCCGCACCAGGACACGAGTCGAGACACGAAGGTCTAGGGTCGGGTCACGAGTCGAGACACGAAGGTCCAGGGTCGAGTCACGAAGGTTCAGAGTCGAGTCACGAAGGTCCAGAGTCGAGTCACGAGTCGAGTCACGAAGGTCCAGGGTCGAGTCACGAGTCGAGACATGAAGGTCCAGAGTCGAGTTACGAAGGTCCAGAGTCGAGTCGAGTCGCGACACGAAGGTCCAGAGTCGAGTAAAGAGTCGCGACACAAAGGTCCAGAGTCGAGTCAAGAGTCGCGACATGAAGGTCCAGAGTCGAGTCACGAATCGACACGAAGGTCCAGGGTCGAGTCACAAGTCGAGACATGAAGGTCCAGGGTCGAGTCACGAGTCGAGTCACGAAGGTCCAGAGTGGAGTCACGAGTCGAGACACGAAGGTCCAGGGTCGAGTCACGAGTCGAGACACAAAGGTCCAGAGTCGAGTCA